CTTAGTTGGATATCAAACCCAGAACATTCAACATTTGAGGCCAGCATTCTAAATGCTGTGTGTTTTGCAGAGAAGCAGCAAATTATAAATGTTCACGTCATTGTTTTGACTCAGCTGGATATCAAACCCAGAAGCTTCAACATTCGAGGCCAGAATTCTAAATGCTGTCTGCTTAGCAGAGAAGCAGCAAATACCAATTTTCATGTCTGTTTTGATTCAGCTGGATATCAAACCCAGAACCTTCCACACTCTAGGCGAGCATTCTACACCTAGACCACGAGGGAAGTTAAGTTGATATGAAGTAATGGCCAGGTGTTTAAATTCCGTTACAACTTAAGGTATTGTAATTATAATTGTAAAAATTCAACCAATGAAAAGAGAGTACTGAATATTCAGAATTTAAACATGCATTTATTATTGCAAATCTTTAACAATTAGCAACTATGCAAGGTAAGCGATAATTAATGCTTTTCCTGTAGAAGAATATTATAGGTAATATTTAAAATGTGGGAATTATTGCAAACTTCATCCTGACCAATTTTGTTCATTACATTTTTACTACAATCATCCCATTAATTTCTGAAAGATGAAGGTATACATGTATAAAGTTAATTTTTTCGGGCCATTTAATTAGAAAATCAAAATGAATGGAAAAAGTGTCTGAGAAAATGCAACACAACTTCAAAAAAATAGTATCAATCTTAAGTATTTATTTTTTTTACATATTTGGGCCTCAAACTTCTTGCATTCAGTGCAAAACTGAAAAAAACTACCAAAATAGCCTTGTCTTGAGATCTTGTCATTAATAATAAGATATGAGCCAAGGCTAAACACAAAAAGATATTTTGCTAAAAGATGTATTTTACAAAGATGATAATGAATGTAAAATATTTTTCTGATTAAGACCTATGAAAATGGCTATTTTGACCAAAAAAGTACCTAATGTGTAAAATGTCCATCCTTTTTAGGTCAAATATAACAATTTTGAATGCTTTATGACATAAAAGTGACATCACAAGTTCTAAAATATTTTTCTGATTAAGACCTATGAAAATGGCTATTTTGACCAAAAAAGTACCTAATGTGTAAAATGTCCATCCTTTTTAGGTCAAATATAACAATTTTGAATGCTTTATGACATAAAAGTGACATCACAAGTTCTAAATGTCTACACTTAACTGTCCAGGTTATATAAACCTAGCATAATTTTAAAGGCTTAATTAATTTGACTAATTTTGCAATTTCAGGGAGTAAAATATGGCTATCATTCCCCTTTACATGAAGTAAATAAACTGCATAATTCAAGTTTGTAAAAAGTTTATTTGTCATATATATATATATGTTTTACATTCATAACAAACATAAATCACATAAACAAATTTTGATCCCAACTCTGTTTCCGTTCACTCATCATTTGTACATCAACAATCTCAACAAACACGGCAGACATTAAACAAAATTGTAAACAGTTTCTGCAAACATGACAGCCACTGATTCAAAATGTGAACATTTTTTACAAATATGGCGGCCATTCAAACAAAATTGTAAACAGTTTCTGCATGGCAGCCACTAAATCTAAATTGTTAACAGTTTCTTCATGGCAGCCACTGAATCTAAATTGTAAACAGTTTCTGCATGGCAGCCACTGAATCTAAATTGTAAACAGTTTCTGAAAACATGGCAGCCACTGAATCTTAAGTGCATGGCAGCCACTGAATCTAAATAGTGAACAGTTTCTACATGGCAGCCACTGAATCTAAATAGTGAACAGTTTCTGCATGGCAGCCACTGAGTCTAAATAGTGAACAGTTTCTGCATGGCAGCCACTGAATCTAAATTGTAAACAGTTTCTGCAAATATAGCAGCCACTGAATCTTAACTGCATGGCAGCCACTGAATCTAAATAGTGAACAGTTTCTGCATGGCAGCCACTGAATCTAAATAGTGAAGTTTCTGCATGGCAGCCACTGAATCTAAATAGTTAACAGTTTCTGCATGGCAGCCACTGAATCTAAATAGTGAACAGTTTCTGCATGGCAGCCACTGAATCTAAATAGTGAACAGTTTCTGCATGGCAGCCACTGAAACTAAATGGCAAACAATGGGTGTTGAATCAAAATGTGAACAGACTCGACAAAGAAATGAAGATGGTTGATCAAAATATGGAAAAAAGTACATGTACATATATTGTAGAAATGAGGGTTTATTGCTCTCATTGATATAAACTGATAAAGTTACTCATGTTAATGAATTGGTGTATCTTTGAGATGTTTAGATGAATACAGAAGGCCTCCAACACAAGTTTTAAAGCATTAGTTGTTACCTCCACAAATAATGGAATTTTTATGAAATTGAAATGTTTTTGAGTATTCAGGCATGATAAAAGGGAGATAACAGCTGGTTTTCCTACTGTCAAGTAGAAAACTATTCATAAATCTGAGTTTGATCTCTGAATGTCATCATTTGTGTGCCCATCATTCTGTATTGAATATATCTGTGACAAAATTTTTAAATTTAAAAGAAAACGAAACATTTACAGGTTGTTGTCCCCGGTTACAGACATTGAATGAACTTCTATTATACCCTTAATTTATCATTATGTGTGGGAGACCCAATTTTCTTGGACTTTGTGGTTAAAGGTAAACCACAAATTTCATTGTTCAACAACAAAGTATAAATATTCTATTGGGTTGTATGCAGACTTTGGCATAACCATGAAATAAAAAAATCTGAAATAACAATTTTACCTCAATTCATGAAAATTGGTATCAACAAAAAAATAAAGCAGTAAGTAAATTTGAATAATCAGCAGCAAAAGTTGGGGTTCTTTAAAAAAATTATTAATTTGTCATGTACAGTACATGTTTTAGGTACATATCATATTTAAACCAAACAAATCTTTAAAGAAATGCAACTGATCCATATTTTTATCAATATTTATGCAAAGAACTTTGTGAAACAATGTTAAAAAGGTACTTGAGCTTTGATCCACATGTTCAGTTCAAGTCTTGTGAAAATAATTTTAGTTAGTGAAAATTTGCATAAATTTAGTTTGGACATATTGCAAAGGCTCTTTGATTGTCCTTTAAGGATTGTTTGTCAAATTTAATGTTTTTGTGCCCTGTGATTGTGACATATAAGTACATATAATTGATTAACAAAGGCTAACTTGTACAAAAGACAATACATTTATGATATACTGTAAATTCAGAAATTATTGTGTGCATTTATTATTGCGGATTTTTAAGAATGGATACTGTAAATTCAGAAATTATTGCGAAAAATGCGACAGGGTTATAATCGCAATAATTTAAACTCGCATTTTGAAATTTTTTATATGAATTAAACAGGATTTTTCTCAATATCGCAAAAATGACAAAATCGCAATAATAAATGCACGCCATTATTTCTGAATTTACAGTAAAAACATTAGATTAATTATTGCGATTTCAGTAATATCTGCATACAGATATTTGTATCAGATATAAGAATGCCCATTCTTATTATTGTGATACTCACTTAGTCCCATTATACGCATTAATAAAATCCTCACAATAATTTCTGAATTAACAGTATTATATATTTATTAATATCACTGTGGACCCACTTTCATTCATAGGATGCTATGACTCATTTCACATATAATCTTACGAAAAAGATTCTTGACAGTCATGAACTTTTCAGTATAGATTATGATCAATTTTAGTCTTGTAAGATTTTTTGTGAAAAGAGCCTTTGAATTTAAAAAAAATCAGTAAATAGAGTTCTCAATATGTTACCAAGATTCTCCTTATCACTGGACAGCCATAGTCCTATAATTTTTTTCAACCAAAGCAAGGATTTGTATAGTGATACTTAACCAAAGTAATTAAATATTTTTGCAATTACAGGTAATTTTTGTTACTTACCAGGTAAATGCTAAATAAATTTCATACCCCAGACACTGTCATCATGGTTATAATATTCAATTAAAGAGCTATTAGTTTTTTTTTATTTCATCAGCTAATTTCCTAAATTGCAGTTTTTTTGCTTTTGTATGTGATTTTTTTTCAATTTCATTGGTTAATTCAGAGGTTTTTTTTTATACTTATGAAAGTTTTCTACTTTGCTTTATAGAATGAAGTACATAAACGTTTCATAAATCAATAGAAATGATAGAAAACAAAATAATACAGTAAAAGTTACGTATCCCAGAAACAGAAACTTTTTTATTAATATTAAAATCTTGTGTTCTAAAAATTTAAAAGAATCAATTTTAAATCTCTTTTCCTATAAATGTAACATCAGTATATAAACTTGTGTTGAAGACCGTACTGTGACCTATAATGGTTTACTTTTATAAATTTTGACTTGGATGGAGAGTTGTCTCATTGGCACTCATACCACATCTTCTTATATCTATTGATGGATGAATACCCCATATCCTTTGTTTTTCTATTAACAATATTTTATATGTTATTACTAAAAATTAGTAATATTGTATGAATAATTAATTCCCTTTTGTAACATTTTTGAGGATCAATATTATTGAATTGACACATACAGAAAAACAGTTAGATTGGAAAAATGGACAACTAAACGAAAATTTAAACCAATAAAAATATTTTGTCAACTATGCTGTAGATTCTAAATTGTTGAAGTGTAACTTGATGTTAACGAACAGCACAGATAACGTACATGATAAACATGGATTATTGTCTTATAATATTAAAAATAAACATTATGCTAAATAGATGAATGAAATCTCATAAAATTGAGATTATTTGAATTTTTTGTTAGACCAAAAATTAAACATACTTGTTCCTGCCTCCTGACAGAAAAAAATATAGTGGGTAGCCAGAACATTTGCAGCAAGGAAAACAAAATAGTTCTATGCTTGAAAAATATTTAACAAAGAAATGTTATGGATTTAACAGTTCTTAACATTGGTAACCATAAACGTCCATAAAATGTACGGAGGCAGGAAACACAACTATATTTGTTATACCTGAAAGAGTGTGACCTCAAATTCACACAGTAATGTTTAAGGCTATAAACTTGGGGTAAGGGAAAGAACTCTTTAAAAATCACTGATATGTTTTTGACTACCACTTTCATGAATACATACTCCAAGCTTCTAAGTAACACAGATTATTTATAATCTGTTAAAAAAAGTGCTTTAAAAACATTGATGAATCCTCTTGGTACAAACGCATTTCTTATGAAAGAGTTGTTTCCCCTTAACCCAGGTCTACCATCTTAAACAACATGACAATCATACAATTTAATCAGCTTCATCAATGTTATATGCTGGCAGTTTTAATGTACAATAACCAACTCCTGTTAGACTTCGTGGCAAAGCACCAACCGTCTCCCAGATTCCTGTATACAAGTCATATCGCGATACAAGTTTCTGACCAGTTTTTGTCTGTACATTGTAACCGCCCAACACATAGATATGATCATTATATACTACACAAGATGCTTCTTTGTGTGAAACAGACAAGGGAGCAATAATTGTCCACTGATCAGTCAATGGGTCGTAACACTCAGACTGCATCACAGGCATAGCTTGCTGGTTTACATTAAGATTACATCCTCCAAATACGTACAGTTTATCCTGAGCTGCACACATCACATGCCATCCTCTCTGGGTTAACATGGCTGCCATGTCCTCCCATTGATTCGTTGCCGGGTCATAGCGCTGCATGTCGGGGGTAAAATGATTTCCGCTATATCCACCAGAAATATAGATAAAGTTCCCATACACAGCCCCAGCATGAGCATGATATGACATCGGCATTGGAGAGATTGGTTCCCACACGTTATCGGCAGGATTGTAAGCTTCGGCGGTAGCTAAGCTGCCATCTTTAAATTTTCCTCCTACAGTGTATATTCTATCGTTCAACACTCCAGCAAAGAAGTAAGCTCTCTTATTAATCATGGGGCACACCTGAAACCATGTATCAAAACGAGGATCATAGCGCAACACAGAATTTACAGCCGATTCTCCATGTGCACACTGTGTAGTACAGCCACCCAGCACATATAAGAAGTTATTATACACTACAACCTGCATATGACTAAGTGCACTTGGAAGGGAAGCTAACTCAGTCCTATTTAATAAACTATTAGACGTTATTTTAGAATCAAACACCAGAATTTCATCATGCAGCCCAGGGTTGGGATGAATTTCCCTACCACCCACGCTGACTAATCTCTCTACAAAGCTACGCAACTGGACATTAAATGTTTTTTCTAAAGGTTGTGAATGAGGAACTACATGATAGTTAAGAGCACTAAGTACCATTTGGCGCAGCTCTGGGTTGGTCATCATCATATCAACCCTTTGAACTGTCTGCACTAAGTCAGCAGGATTTATCATTGGAAATCGTATCAGTTTCATTAATTCTATTGCTTGATCTTCCTGGTTACTGTTGAGAAGGAACCACTCCCACGTTATATGGAAAATATCAATCTCTTTTAGACCTAATTGATCACTGTTTAAACAGTTTACCATTTGCTCATTAGTCAATAAATGTAACGTACCTTCCTTAGATATATGCATTAAATTTCTTGCTATAAAAACATCAATTTGCTTCAATGCATTGTTCATACTGTACAATTTAGCCGTATTAATAAAATCGTAAAAATTAGTTGTATTCATTCCGCTAAGAAAGTTTCTCTCACAAAATTCTATAACGGGAGTCACTTGCAAATGAGTGGCAGCAGCTATCACGTCAAATATATCATCCCCTTCCAAAGAAGTGGTTGATGTGTAGATTATTTCTAATGTTTTGTCAAGCCCTTTACTTGTAATTCCTCGTAATTCTATTTCTTTCTGGGTACTTTCTTTCATTCCACTGGTAAACATTGATCTGAAGTAGTCAGAACAGGATACCAGTACTACACGATGAGCTTCAAACTTCTGACCTGAAATATTACAGAGTAAAATAATGAAAAGCTGATTACTTTTTACAATCATGACAATATTATATATATATATATACACTAGTATTAGTCATACCTAATGTTTCAACCACGGTGCTGCCAACATTAGTTTGAATCAAAAAGAACTTATGGACAATAATAAATACGGGGGGGGGAGATATTTGCTTGCATGGGGGGGGGGGGGGGGGGGATATTTGCTTGCATGTTTCATAATACTTCTCATTTTTTATTGCAAGGCTCTGAGGTCATGTTTTGACATATATGTGTATTGGTTGGACACAACAAGTGAAATTTTAATGCTTTTGTTAACCTTGGGACTGTAAATTTGGTTCAATACAACAGAAATTTTGACTCATCCAATTTCGACTAATCAGGAGTCAAAATAGATATATTTGTATGGAACAAAGTTCAAGATCACAGGAAACTTCTGAATTTCCAGTCAGTGGAGTTCCAGACATTGAGAGTTAACTGTATGCAGATTTAGATCCCCACTTGTATATGTAATTCATTTTTTGCAGCCTATGAATTAAATGTATATTAAGAACCATCATAATTTTTTTTGTTCAGCCTAAGCATTGAATGTACATGTATATTAAGAATCATGTAATTTTTTTGTGCAGCCTAAGTATTCAATGTTTAAGAACCATATAATTTATCTTGTATAGCCTATATGAATTGAATGTTAATTGTGATGATCTGTGACATACATGTATTGTTTTCAAAACTACATCATGTACATACTAATAAATATAATATAATTAACCTTCAGCAATTAATGTAACATCACAAAGAATTTTATCATTTTTTAGCTTGTTGAGGCCTTGTAAAATCATCATTCCATGCTCTGGTCTCTCCTCCACACGACACACTTCAATAGCAGGGCTATCTTGAGCTATTTCTTCAGCCATTTTGGATAATTTAAGTTTCTTGGTAGCTGAACAATCAACTTGGTTCATTTAACCCCATTCTGCACAAAAAAGAAGAAAACTATGAATTTAAATCATTATTAAAATTTCAAAACTACTGCATCATGTGTGCCATTGTCAATATGTTTGTACCAATGACATTGCCTGTTACTGGCAACAAAAATAGAAATGCAAATATTTGTACTCTAACTTAATTTTTATTTAGCTAATAATATTTATCACCTCTAAATGTTTTTGGAATACAAGCATTTGGATTTCCAGATGTGTAGTGTTACTTGATGGCAATTGATGTCACCACATTCCACAAAAATTGTAAATGCAGACAGGTATTTCAGAAATGGAAAAAATGTTGTTTTTAAATAAATAGTTGAATACAATACACAAAAAAATTAACTATACATGCACCTATATAATGTACATAAGATTTTGGATAATTATTGGTCTAATGGTCAATAAAATGCTTCGCTGAGCGCAGCCTGAACAGTTGGGGCAAATTTGGACACAATATATATACTTCAAGCTTGATACTGTCTGAATTTGGATTGTGATCAAATTTTTGACATAATATAGGTTTCTGACACAAAACAAATGTGGTCAAAGATCTTACAAATCTATTGTGCAATACTGTGCAATTGAAGATTTCTTCTTGAAACTTTTCAAAAATATGAAATTTGAAAAATTTTGAAAAAAAAAATATGAATCCTTTAAAAAAATTGTAAACAAAAAATCCCCCCCCCCAACTTATTGAAACCACCCTTGGAGCAATAACCCCAAAACTCAATCCCAGCCTTTCCTTTGTAGTATAATTTCAGAGAGATCCATACACTTAAACACAAGTTATTGTCTCGAAATTAGAAAAATGCTTCTTTTTGGCCATTTTGGCCCCTTCCTACATGTTTGGGACAATTAACCCCAAACCCAATCCCAGCCTTCCCTTTGTTATATGGACATACACTTACACACACGTTATTGTCCGGAAACTAGAAAAATGCTTGTTTTTGGCCCCTTTTTGGCCCTTAATTCCTAAACTGTATGCCCCATAACCCTTAAAATAAATCCCAACCTTCTACTTGTGGTATTAAACATTGTGGTTACAATTTCAGAGCAATTGAAATACTTATACACAAGTTATTGTCCTGAAACTAGATAAATGCTTGTTTTGGGCCCCTAATTCCTAAACGGTTAGGACCATCATCCCTAAAATCAATCCCAACCTTCCTTTTGTGGTATTGAACCTTCTAAAAAAATTTCATAGAGATCCATTCACTTAAACTAAAGTTATTGTCCGGAAACAAATGTGTCTTCGGACGATGACACAGACGACGACAACATCATACCATTATAAGATCCCAAAAAATTTTTTGCGGTCGTATAAAAACCGAAAAAAACAATGTCTGACCAGTATAATACGATTTTCTCTGAATCAAATGTCTGATAACAGTTTTGGATTTTTGTTTAAATAAGTATTTGTTGTCCAGTGAAATATTGTTCAGATTGATCATCTTAAGCATGTTAAGGATGTTTGCTCCTCTTGTTTTTGAATTTTTGCCAGATATTCAGAATCCTCTGGTTTAATCCATGTAGTGCCATTAAAAAATTTGCATGCTAACCCCTACTTTTCTTTTCATAATTTTATTACATATACATGATATACATGTAGTTTAAAAAGCCATATTTGAAAATCTTATAATAACCTTGTTATTTTTCATAGTTTTTGAAAGAAAAAAGGTGCCAATGTTATATGCATGAAAAATCCAGAGAGAATCATTTCTTGCAAAATTTTCAATGTCTTATAACTCAAAAACAAGCACACAGACCCTTCATTTTTTTCTGCTTTTTGAGTTCCTATATTAATATACTATTAATTTATAACCATGATAACAGTCTTTCAAAAAGTTTGTTATTTTGAAACAGAGGAGCGAACATTCTTTAAAACAAGAGTCTGAAATTGCAGTCATTTTTTAGACTAGAAAGGCAGAATCTTTTAATTTTAAACTGTCAAATTCATACTGGACATCACAACATAAACAAACCTCTATCAACAGTTTTGTTGTATTTACTGTAGGAAATTTCATACCTGTTTTTGTAAAAGCGTGTAAGAATAATATGAGGAAGGCAACAGTTTAAATCTGCAATGATTTTAGTGACTAAAACTGCAAATCCTTAGGAATTGATCATGCTGCTGTCATTTTTGAGAAACCAAAAGTTTTCAAACTGATTATTGATTATAAATTACAAATTGAAATTGAAATTGGATTAATAATACAGATTTTTCTGATGGCTATCAAATAGCACTTAATCAATGTTTTTAGGAATCATACTTGTAAAAGTGTTTGAATATGAACCTCGCCACATTCTGTATGTTCATATGTTTCTGTCCCAAGTCAGGAGCCTGTAATTCAGTGTTTGTAGTTTGTTGTTGTATATCATATTTGTTTTTCATTTATTATTTTGTATATAAAACAGGCCGTTACTTTTCTCGTTTGAATTGTTTTACATTTGTCACTTTGGGGCCTTTTATAGCTTACTATGCAGTATGGGTTTTGCTCATTGTTGAAGGCTGTACGGGGAACCTATAGTTCTTAACTTCGACATCATTTGGTCTCTGGTGAAGAGTTGTCTCCTTGGCAATCATACCACATCTTCTTATTTTTATAAATAATGGTTGTACTCATGTGTTTGGCAAAACATTAATTCTAAACATCTAATCTTGTGCTTATCAAAAAGAATGGGACACTTACATGCATGCATAATGCGTAAAGAATCAGGAATTCCCATGGATAAAAATTTAATGATGGTGGAACTCTCACCAGGACAAAACCCTGGGTGTCGTGATAAAAAATATTTCATTCCTACATTTCATTATAAGGAATAGTGAATAGACTGATATACATGTATTGTTTATTTTATTTATTTCAGTTTGGAATAACCTTGTAACCTTTTAAAAAGGGGGATGATTAGCGATCATTAGCCAGATATTCCCTAGGGCTTTAAAACAGTAATCAGGATTATAACATAATAGGGGTTATAAGACGAAGTCCCCTATTACAGTAGTAAAATCAATAAAAAAAAAAAAAAAATCGAGAATATTTCCCGAAATTTTCATTGTACTAACATGACTAATGAACTCAAAATCGTTAACTTTTTTTTGTCACTTTATTAATTCCTGCATTTGCGCAGAAATCTACTTCCTTCTTCCGGTCTTGTTTGTCATGAGACTTTGAGTGAAATACATATTTATCAGTCCAGTAAAATATAGGAAGGAACACAATAACAATTTCATTTCTAATTATTCTTTGATATGAAAAAACATTACCTGATGATAGCGTTTCTTTGTTTACATTGCATATGACATCATAACTAAAATAATGTCACAACTAAAATCCCTTACAACAGAACCAAAATCGGAAACGTTACGGTATTTCCAGTTCTTTTTTAACAGATTTAGAACTTAAAATATGTTTGAATTAAAAAAAAATAATTTATATAGACTTTGTCCCCTTTCACAGGTAATGCCTGCCTCATATTACAATTATATGTAATTGAATATGATTGCTAAAAAAAATGGTAGGGATCATTTTAGGATGGTGGAAGATAATTTACAATGGCGGCACACCATCATTTAACAGGTCATGGAGATCCCTGAAGAAAATTATCATGTTCCACTGAACCTAAACGAAATAGTATAGAACACTTTAACCTTAAAATCTAAATTACTGATAGCCTTTGCTGAAAAGTTACATGTATTTAATAATAAAGTAAATCATCAGTACTTGGTCATTATTTTCTGCTGTCATGTGTCAACACAGGTAAACATGAGAAGGGAGCTTTTGGCATTATACAATAACTTGTAGGACCCTATGTATTATCATATAATACCAAGTAGCAGTTTTTCAAACAAGACTTTTGTAACTTGTAACTAAAAATGTTTGTCAAGTAACCCTGTATATTGTTACAAGACTGTTTCCAAACAGAGTTTGTGTTAAAAATTATTTGACAAAAAATAGGTGATTTTCTAGGGTCCCGGTAAAGTGAGAAACGGAACAGAAACGAAACAGAGCGAAACGAAACGAAACATGGCAAAACGAAACGAAACACAGCGAAACGAAACAAAACACGACGAAACGAAACGAAACACGACGAAACGAAACGAAACATGTAAATTGAGAAACGAAACACAACGAAACGAAACAAAATCTGTATTTTGAGGAACCACCTATAGAAAATCTTCCTGACGAGATATGTGCACAGCCGAAGATACCGAATATTCCATTCAACTTTGAAAAAATTACTCGTCATTTACATTGGTATCTTCGTGCATTAGTTGCAATCAGTCAACTTGTTTTGTTAAATGTGAGGCTTAGGTGCATCACTATGCTACAGAGCCTGTTCTAACGGTTTCTTGTCACGTGCAACAATTAGGGAACATTGAAATTAGAATAGCTGTTACTGGGGATCGTCTGAATATCAGCCTCAAACAAAATTGGCCATTCTTACCTTTGTGACTAGGATTTTTATGTACCGCCTACGGTAGTGGGGCATAATCTTTTCTGGTCTGTGCTGCCGTCCGTCAGTCCGTCCGTCCAATACTAGGTTTATTCTGTTTGTTAATATAGATTAAATTACAATGGAGTTGTGTTCATGTCAACTTGAAACTATACACATGTTCATTATTACATGTTCTTTTTGAAATGTATGCCAAATTAGGAATTTGAACCATAATTTGCGATTCAATGAACATGAAAATTTGATATTTTAAGCGAGTCATACTGTCCTATGGATACTTAACACATGACATGAGTAAAATCTCTTTGTTCTTACTGTGCTATAATCTGGATAATGCACAGCAAAGGTGTGTATTTACTACCTCAGATATACTGCACAGTTCAAAAGTACTCTTACATTTAGGGGCGGACCCTCGGTTTTGAAAGGAGTGTAATTCCATATAAAATTTAAAAAATATCACAGAGTGTACATGTAGCGAATATAAAAAGGAAGATGTGATATGATTGCCAATGAGGCAACTCTCCACAAGTGACCAAATGACATAGTAATTAACAACTATAGGTCACCGTACGGCATTCAACAATAAGCAAAGCCCATATCGCATAGTCAGCTATAAAAGGCCCCGAAATGACGTACAAATGTAAAACAATTCAAACGAGAAAACTAACGGCCTAATTTATATACAAAAAATGAACGAAAAACAAATATGTAACACTTCAACAATTGACAACCACTGAATTACAGGCTCCTGACTTGGGACAGGCACATTCATACAGAATGTGGCGGGGTTAAACATGTTAGCGGGATCCCAACCTCCCCCTAACCTGGGACAGTGGTGTAACAGTACAACATAAGAACGAACTATAAAAATCAGTTGAAAAAGGCTTAACTCATCAGATGGATACAAATAACATACATCTAACAAAAACACAGAGTGGACGTGGCCGGGTACTTGTATAACCCAACAACAAAAAGACACTAAGTACTGATCTGAGAGTACTCGAAGTTACTGGCAGCTAGTTCAAAGCCACTAACAAGTAATAAAAAAATCATGCATCTAAGACTAAATTATCAATCTGTACACATCCAACATCCAATGGATTTAGTGTACAGACGTCATAAACAGTCAGAGGAAAAACACGACCTTGTGTAATGCCAAGATACAGGTATCGACAGATTGTAGATCCATGAATGTGTATATGAATTATATAACAATAGTATTTAGTTTGCTTTTAATTTACCGACAACAAAATCAATATTGATACAAATAAAACAATTTTCAATGATCTAATTACAGTGTTGAATTGGTAACCTTTTAGAATAAGTTTATTTCACGGATCGACAAGTTTACCAGGATCGTTTCTAAATTTCCGGGCACGGTAAACAACATTTCCATAAAAATTAGGATGTGCTATCCCATTTGAACTTCAAAACCAAATCTTTATATCTATGGAAGAATTTAGTAAAGGTTTTAAGTAATTTGTGGTAACGAAATCCCTGGCTTAATAATTTACCAGTAATACATAGATTACGTTCGTTAAAATCAAAAACGTTACAACAGACACGGGCATAGCGAACGAGTTGTGAAATTCAAACACCATAAGATGGTGCCAATGGAACATCACCATCCAAAAAGGGAAAAATAACAATCGGGAACAAAAAAATCGTCCCTTTTGTCGTAAATGTCGGCTGTATATTTAGAAAATTCTTGATTTTTTAACGAAAAAATATCATCAAGATACAGGTAAGTGTTGTTGAATTTATCAGTTAAATGCAATTTTGACGGGTCTTTACTTAGTGTTGTCATAAACTATGATTCATAACAGTACAAAAACAAGTCTGCTATTAAAGGGGCGCAATTAGTGTCCATTGGAATACCTACAACCTGTCGATAAACTTTGTTGCCAAAACGTACATAAATATTATCAAGGGGAAATTAACAGCTTCAATCATCTCATCCCACCTCCAGTAAGTATATCTAGCATATTTACCTTTCACATTAGAGAAATAGGCTTTAAATGAATTGCAGCAAATATATTTGCATTCAGATTTACCAAACGACCATTTAATTAAATAAGAAAACTTTTGTTTGATAAGATTGTGTGGAGGTGTAGTGTAAAGAGTAGAAAATTCGCATTCAGATCTACCAAACGACCATTTAATTAGAGTAGAAAAGTCAAAACTGTCAACAGAATCCAAAAGACCATCAAAAACATCTAATTTATTTAAATCATCTAATTTTTTTCACTCCAAAATAGACGATTTTATGCTAAAACATGATATGTTTTCCACTCAAAGGGTGGGACATAAAATATTTTATAATATTTTGTGTACAATGTACATCTGAAATCAGTGTTTCCCAGTCAAACCAGATAATAATATTTTTTTTTGTAATTTCTGCCGAAAAAGAAATGTATTTTAGAATATCCAAATAAATAAAATCTGATTTGGATTATAGTTTCGTGCTCAATGGAATTAATTACGACTATTTAGATATGTATGCCTTTTAAGTTTTGGGATCGAATTTAGTGAGGAACATATTCAAGTTTGTATCAAAGCAGGTTTGGGGGATAAGCTACAGATCAATCAGATTTTGTTTAGAAGCGACATGTCTTTAAAATTTATACAGTAAAAAAAAATGGAGGGAGGGGAAGTTAAAGATTGAAACATTATTTTCTGTTTACATATTAATATTTTTAATTTAGGTACAGGAAGGTCGACTATTCATATGTATTATATATTGATAGAAACAAGTGTCTGTGTACATCTCTATTTGGTTCATCTTCCTAGAATTATTGAGGGAAAGAAAGACAATTAATCTATACACAATAACCAGTTTTGTTATGATTTTTCATGCACCGATTCAAAAGTACACTAAACGGAACTAAAAATGTATGAAATGTAGGTAACACGTCAATAAGACAGCAACCAAACGACAAGAACAAACTAAGGACATCAAGAAGGCAACATATAGTATAATTTCAACAATAGATAGGTGTCTACACAATATGTTCATTTCTAATTCGTCACTATAACATATTCTAGTTTGTATTCGTTTCTTCTTTGTTTTTAAGTTTCAAAGATTTTTTATTATGGCAGTCCATGACCATGATGACATTCTTCTTCTTTCATTTTGTTGCAAATCAGGCAAGACATAATCTCGTTTAATACAAGTTCAATTCATATTAACCTTTTAAACTACTTACAACAGGTACCATCGACTTCAACTGTATGGAGATGCCGTATGTACTTCGTAGCTTATCTTTTGAAAATGTGGTAGATACTATACCTAGTAACACGCGTCTATCAAGATAAATGGCGAATAACAAAACACAATATTCGGTACCGTAAGTTTAAAAAAGAAAGTAGAACATGACGAGTCGAACATACAATATTGTATGAATAAAAGGAGAAAAGTGACCGTGCTCCAGTACCACTTTAGATCACAAGGTCACGATTAAAAATTGCCTCGGGTCACCAGGTCACTTTTAAGCAGACTATTCAGTTCTAAACTGATTTGATTCTCGGTTTAAACATTTTAAAGGTCACATGTACTTTCAAAAGAGACGTCAGGTCGCAACGTGGTCAACCCCCCACCCCCATTTGACGTCCCAGGTCGGACTTGACAGTGTTGTTGCCACATATAGGGTGAATGCATCCAACTTGAACATTTGGATCCTACTACCTAATGTTATGTATGACAAAGTGTCCTTACCATTTACATATTTTGGCTATGGTTATTTCACTTGGGATACGTACATGTAAGTGTTTCATTCATGAATAAAATACCTTTCTTGGCACAAACTCATAAACAATAAATGATAAAAACCTTGCAGATTATTGCATATACAATGATATTAACAGACGTGATCGAATGAAAAGTTATACACACTAATATATCATAACATTATTAATGATAACAATGTGTGGGACTATAAAGCATAGAAAAATACAAAGCGCAATAGAACTGGTATGTAATGCGTTCTTTCTAGTGCGGCAATCAGTGAAGTTAATCCCAGTGTGTAATGTGTGTTCGAATAAACCGTTAATCACATGTTCTCTTTGGATTAAACGAAATCTTTTGTATACATATAAAAAAAAAGCAGAGACAGATCCAGAGTTTAAGGAAAGGGGGAGGCATAATTGTCCAAAAAGATAAACATACCACCAATGTTGTTTTTTTGACGATTTTTAAGCAAACAATTAGATGATATCAATCAAAAGGGCCCTCCAAACCCACACTGATCTTCGGCTATGTCAGGAAGATTTTCTATAGGTGGTTCCTCAAAATACAGATTTTGTTTCGTTTCGTTGTGTTTCGTTTCTCAATTTACATGTTTCGTTTCGTTTCGTCGTGTTTCGTTTCGCTGTGTTTTGTTTCGTTTCGCCATGTTTCGTTTCGTTTCGCTCTGTTTCGTTTCTGTTCCGTTTCTCACTTTACCGGGACCCGATTTTCTAAGTTATTGATACTTTACAGTACAATCATTTCATTTAACTTGAAGAAAATTTATTAACAACTTTGAAATACAAGCTCTAGCATGTCTAGCATGTCTAGTGAGCCTATAAAAGCAACTAGAACATTTTTTATAAACTGCGAGAATTAAAAACAGAAATACTTAACTTTTAACATGTTTAATAATAGTTTTGTATTTAAATAGTCACAAAAATTACATTATATTAAACATGTTATCATGGTTATAAATAATGCTTCTGAAGTGCTTTTCTAAAATTATCTTCATCAGGAACTCTCAAAGCTGAATAATTGAAAGTCAAGTATGTATAAAAACTAAAACAATTGAAGAGCACAAAGGGAGATAATTTTTATAACCACTGATAACATAGATAAACTTAAGTTATGACAAAGTCAAGTTATTTATAAAGCTCAAATAAACATGATAAAAGCTTATGAACATGAAAGTAAACAGGGTACATTTGAACAGATAAAAGACAAATTAAGTCTATAAATTATCTATATAAAGTTGCCTAGATCAAAGGTAAGTGATAGTATGCAGGATGTATATCTGATGAAAATAACCCAGGGGAAATCTGAAATCACTGGTTAGTCACATTGCACTTGCAGAGAAGTTACAACTTACATGCAAGAATTATTTACGTTAAAGAGGACTGAAGAAATGGCTATGACCGCACTTATACGCTCTTTAAATATCTCAAACTGCATAAAAAGGCATGTGACTGCTTACATTAACACCCTACACATGTATCTTAAGCTTTGTAAACACTGTCATCTTTATTTTCAGCCCATGACGGATGACCATGACCGACAGCACTATCGGAAATGACATCATGCAAAGTTTGCATGTGTACTCAAAACCGGTGCCCGGGAAAAATGTAAACATCAACGTTGCGTTCTATAAATTACTTTAAAATTTGTCTTGCTGTAATGCTTGAGGGTTTTGTAAACATATATAATATATATCTCTGCCTAAAACAACCCAAAACAAAAACACCTACAACATTCAAGAACATACACAAAAATTTAATGGTAATATTTTAACAGAGACATATATTGCGGATATTGTATTATTTATCTCGTATATTGTATTATATGTCTCTGGTTTTAATTTGTACATTTGTGATAATTTTTTTAATGTACAAGCCCTTAATGTAATAAATATTTTATTTGCAACTACACCCATACGGGTCAAGAAAAAAACATACAATATAACGCAGTACACGCCATGTATTAACACAACAGTCAATTTTACAAGTTGAAACACAAAAAGACATAATTATGATAATGTAACTTTTATTGAACATGGACCTCATTTTCGCAACTCTATAAGATTGTTTAAAAAAGTTACCATGCAGCTGCTGTCAAAAGTTCAGATTCAGAATTTAAAATTCTTATAGTTCATATATATATAGTGCTTCATTTTGTGTTGTGTAAATTATTGCATGTGTATTATGTATTGTATTGTTATGTCTTGTATGTCGGTTAAAAAAGCTCATTAGAGCTTATGTTATGTCCTTATTTGTATACTATGCCGACTCTAAATAAAGCTTATTTATTTTTTATTTATTTATTTATGAAAGTTTTTTTAGCTTAAAAAGTGGTTGAGAATTTGTATCATGAACCAGGTTTTATATTATTAATTTTTGAAAATATAACTGATCTCTTAAAGTTGAGTTCAGTATACAATCAAGAAAAAGTGGTATTCATTACCAAGTTTAGTACAAAATTTACATAACCTTTGATCTCTGGGTATATTTTTGTATCTCATAATCCTGGTCAGTGCTTGGTGTCAACAAAAGTCAATGTAAAACAGCTTTTATTTATACTGTATAAAATCCCAGTGTTTATCTTGACCGTACACAGTCATGTGACATTATGATTGACTTCACATTTACTATGTTTTTGAATATATATTTCAACCTAGCTCTCAACACACAAGTCAAAATAAAAGTCTATTTTGAAAAAAAAAAATTTAAATAAAGTTAAGAGTAATTTAACGTTAAAAAATTATCAAATATCATTTATTTTATTTAATCAAAAAGAACAATGTCTGAACGGTATCATATTTTTGTACCTAATGAATTGTCCCAGGGAAATTGAACGAATAATTACGTTATCAACCAACGGAACGAGTGAAAAAGAGCTGTCTTATTTATTTGGACCTTTTTAACTTTTTTGATTCTAGCGTCATTGATGAGTCTTTTGTAGACGAAACGCGCACCTGGCGTGTAAAGTTTTAATCCTGGTATCTGTGATAAGTTAATTCCAGTATGACTTTTTACAGGCATTTTCCGAAGAAAAACTCAGTAGTCTCAGGCAATTTGGATCGACACACTTTTCCGGGTGATGCTATAACAAGAAACGGAACGAAACGAAACGGAGTTGAATAGAACGAATCGAAACGGAACGGTCCGATTCGAAACGAAACGAAGTTGAATAGAACGAATCTGAACGGAACGGTCCGATTCGAAACGAAACCGCGTTCCGTTTCTTGCTTTAGAAAAATTGTTGGTGCTTTCATACTTTTTGGTTTTTTTTCCTTTTAATTTGACTGTTAGTACTCAATGTTGACTTAATTGTTTATTGTTTCAGTGATTTTATACTGAATTCCGACAACAATACGACTATATTTAAACGTACGTTTCCATGAACATTCGTATGTTGCACTTGAACAACTGCGGAAGAAACATATGCCAATATTACTGACAAGCGTTGTCGTTGAAACAAAGATTGACTAGCAGTCCGCTGACCGTTATTTAGCGTTCATTCAGTCAATATGAAAACTCGATATTCAATATAATTAGATCTTTTTGAAACTGTTACACCTTTTCCCACTCTCTTATTAAAATTAGTGACCAATGGCGGCACTGACATCTTGATAGAATAAGTTGTTTGAGAATTGTTATACCACTAATCGAAGAATTCAGAAATCATTAATCAAGGAAGATATAAATAATATTAAATGGAGGTTCTAAAAAGCCTTTGTCGCCCACCTATGTCTATGTATATCTTCAACAATGCACGAGGGTCTGAATGCATCTTCGCTAGCCAAGGGTTACGATCCACTCAGAGGAGGGGAGTGGATCGTAACCCTTGGCTAGCGAAGATGGTCTGAATGAGGGTGCCTTCATTTCTGTATTCTTTAACTTTTTAAGCCATGTTTTTCTATTCTTTATATGTTTTCCCCATTATTCTCTATCCTTTATATTCTAGCACCGCATTATTCTCTATTCTTTATTGTTATGATCCATTTTCTCTTTTCTTTATATTTTTCGCCCATTATTCTCTATCCAGACCGTCATGCACGCTCTCCAACATTGTAGACCAGACTATAATTCATGACTTGCTATTGAATCTCTTTATTTGGATCTTGTATTGCTGATCATTTTTTTTTACTGTTTACAGTTTTACTAAGAAGACAACTGAAAATTTAATTTATGCTTTTGCATCTAATTAAAATATAGTTCTCTGATTTCACTATACACCTAAATATACGAGCACGCGAGTAAGTATGGATCAGAATTTTAATCAGATTGATTTATGCTGACCTATTTACAAGTCTTTGTCTTGTTGATCATTTCTGCCTATTATTTTCTATCTTAATTTCTGTTATAGTTTCAAGATATTTGGTAAAAACGCAAACAATTGGTAAGAAATTGTCATTTAAGAGCACTAACTCATACCCAAGAATGAAGGACACTAATGGCCGATTACCCTTATCAGCGACACCCGGGGTGCAATGTTTTTAATGATGTTCGATTAACATAGAAAGTAATGGGAAAATAAATGGGTACCCTTCATTAATTCTTCATATTATTTTTATTAATCATCTGAATTCTTATTAACACATACGACCGAATTCTACATAGATTTACCTCTCTGGTGGTATAAAAAAAATCAGTTTATCTTATCTCATTGTTAGGTCTCCGATTTTTTTTAATTTCATTATCTAAATTCTCTTACTCACATCAGTAAATAACGATGAATTACCTCAAAAGAAAGGAGACAGCAGTAACTAAAAAAATTGAAGCACACTTAATATGCAAAGGAAATACTATTAACACATACTGTTGAATACTCCTGTCAAAAAGCTATATTTTGATGTCAGAAAAGTCAGTTTAAATTAAGAAATTCTTAGGTCTCCGGCGTTTTGAAAAGTTGTCTTTGAAAAAAAATAACCAACACAAATGTAATATACGAAAACAACGTACATTAGCGAGATCATACTGTTATACATGTATTAACTAAAATAAATTCCAGTTGTTCTTAAATAAATGAAATAATACATAATAAGTTCAAATTCAAAGTGTTTTATTGAGGTTATTGGAGCCTCATGTTTTTAGGTTTTACTGTTCATTTTCCCTTTAGGGGAATGCTTTATTATCTGAACAAAATTCTGTTACATATTTTGTGAAACACCTTGTGTCAGGTTTCATTTATTATATTTTCCTACCCAGCCAGTTATTCAAGTATGAAGTGAGTAGATTTCAAGTGAAAAGATTTTTACCTGTACGTATGATCATGTGACTTACAGGTTAGGATTTGAATTCAAATTAGTTTGATCTTTACTTGGACAAAGACTTGCATTAGTTCCTTAAAATTTTTGAAGACATGAAAAAGTTTAAAGTTTCATGACGAGTTTAAGGTATTTAATGTAGTAATAATTATTTACTTTAAGAATTATGTACCCTTCTGTTGATTCAACATGTTCAATGCCAAACATATGGAAATTTATAGAAAATCCACAGCCTTTCCCCTTGTAATCTAATATTTGACAATTCGGTGCTTGATTGATAGACGATAATTGCATGCAGTGCTAGCAATGATTTCCTTAAAACAAAATTATAAATTAAGATATTGGTTTAAACAAATGTAAATACGGACCTATTCAAGTACACCTTCTAGGGTGCGCTAGACTTTAATGACTCACCACGAGTTTTTTTTTGGAATTAAAAGGTTATTTAGGACTTTTTGTAAACAATAAACGCTAGCATACCATGGACAAACAAGTAAGTAATCTATGTTTAGAATTTTATAACGAAAATCTCAGTATTAAAGTCTGTGGATTTTCTACAAAAATCTGGTGTTATTTGTCTCAAAATTCCCATTTCTATCGAATGCAATGAAACTATAAATAATAATGCTTTGTTCGAAGTTTCCCCTTGGTATATGTACAAAATGGCCAATCTCTACTGTACATTATATTTGCTGTTTTGATATTATTGCAGTTTGAAAATTTCGAATTCAGATGGCTACAGAAGGGGTCATAAACCTTAATGTATTCTGTTCTGGATTTCAAACTTTTAGTTCCAGAAAATTACTTTTAAAGAATTAAAGATTTCACAAATTTTTCATACATAATAAGGTTGGATGGGAAACACAATGATGACTCTTAACCATTTCTTCATGTTGGTTTATTTATTTGAGAAGTATAACATTTTTTCATTGACTTGTTTTAATATTAAATGTTTCTTTTCAGTTCTTGGATTCTAGGAACTTAATGTCATCTAAATTGGTATTAGATAGGAAACCAGACACTATACGCCATTATATAGATTTTCAACAATGCTAGACTCGGAGTATATACAGTCAGGACAAAAGTGAGTTCCCACTGAAAAAACGTCCTATCATTTCAACTAAAATCAATATTTTTCAAAGAAATTGTACTTTCAGTAGCTATTTAAAATGCCACAAAGGTCAGTAAAAGACATTTAATTAAACATAAGGAGGTTATAAACACCATCTCCTTGAGTTTACTAATATAAAAATTCGTAAGGGTTCCGCGGAACCCAGTGTCTCGCCTACTTTTGCTG